CCGAAGCACAATTATAAGCAAGGCTCTGTGATCCAATACCTTACTCCAACACTTAATTGCAATCAATCAAGTAAGGCTTTAGGATTGCCTCAGTCGGCTACCTCCAAAATTACAAGGAGACCCGTCTCGACAGGAATTCTAGGCAAATTTCAAAGAAAAGAAGGAAATTCTAAAGCAGCAGCCGTAACAACAGTTGAATTTTTTCCGAGACCTTTATGGAGAATGATGCCAAGAAAACGAATTGAGTATAGGTAGTGCCGGGATTCACATGATAGACTGCAATGGCGGGCCGTTTGAGATAAAATAAAACTCGCAAAAGCCGAAATTTTGGCAGCTTCATCTTTTAGCACTTTTTATTACGAAAAAAGTGTAAATAATGACTTACTAGAGAGAATGACATGATGACTCTAAGAAGATGCCTTTTCAAGTGATTTGTTTCGTTGACGGAGTTTTGGCAAAAGGGGATCTCAGTGCGATCTTCTAGGGAAATAGGACAGGTGTCTTTCAGGATAACAAAGTGTGATCATCGTTTCGGCAGACCGTATAACTTAGCAGCGGTCGAATTCCCATATTCACTAATCGCATTAGCCACCCGTCGTGCAAGTCTTTCAGTGACATTGTGCCGTAAATAAGAGGCGTGCACAAATTCGAAAATATTCGCAGGTCAAAGGTTGGAAATGAAGGGAAGCTTTCGTATCAGTTAAGAGAGTATATTCATAAGAAGTACAGTCGAGCATTCAAAATCATAATTTGAACTACGAAACTGTTATTAATCTATACTCCTTTACATGTGAAAAATTGGTCATCTTTCACACTTTTAGAGGCATGGTATTTATGCATAGATTTATCACTCTTTTCACGAGTTTTTTAGAAATTTTTTGGAAGCAGCTATGATTATGCATTGTTTATAATCTATTTGAAACCATGCTTGCTTGTCTCCTTATGACACTATTACGTCCAATACGAGCTCGATCAATGATGAATTTGGCTGCGAAATTGTCTTAGTCTCTAATTTCAAAAGGGTAATATGGAAGGTATAGTTTTCTTTACGGTACCTTTCGGCCTTCGTTCAACATGAAAGAAAAAAGACCTTAAATTTGTTGCATAAAAAGAGTTTTCTCTATCACTTTTGGGACTGTGGCTCCACGTCCATTGCATCTGTGACTCCCAGCGCGCGAACGCACTGAATGTATTGTTCTATTATTTAAATTCTGTTATTGCTGTTATTTTCCTGCTTTTAACAACATGATATAATTACATATAACATAATATAGGAAAATAACAAAATTAATACACGTGGAATAATACAAAAACCCAATATTGTAGAGTGGTGTGCTGAAACATATTCGGCGGAGTTTGGAACCCCGATTCCACTCTATCCGGGGCGCTTGCTGAACCGTTGCACTACCGTCGTCCGTTTTGACACCACTCTCTCTATGCTACAACGTACTATCTGTCAACAGCCAGCCGTCTACGGTCTGGCGTGGGCAGTCACTATCGACATTGTTTCCTTTTTACGCTGACAGATATTGGGTTTATTGTAACATCATACCACCGCGATAGGCTTTCAAATAAAATGAATTGTAATTTATTGATGAAACCAGCATTATCTGTCAACATAAGTGGGTTCAAAGTCGATATTAAGTGCCCACGCCAGACCTTCGATGGTTGGCTGTTGACATACAACGCGTTGTAGCGCAGAGAGAGTAGTGTCAAAACGGGCGTCGGTAGTGCAACGGTTCAGTACGCGCTCCCGAATAGGGTGAAATCTGGGTTTGAATCCCAACTGATGCAAATATAGTAACAATTCAGAACGTTGCCACACTGGGGGTAGAGGTGCAGATGAGGTGGAGCGGACCATCCAGTATTGCCGTGCTGAGGTTAGAGATGCAGAGGAGGTGAGTTCACGGTCCGAAAAGTGTTAAAACTGTGCTGTTTCACCATACTGTGAAGCTAAATAGCAATTTGGTATATGCAACTCTTTCAGAAAAGATTCTTTGGCTATATAGAGCATTTCAATGTGGCGAATAAGACGTTAAGACGAATCAACAACAACCGTGTGCTTCTTCTAAACGCAAGTGAGTTGAATAAATAGACTACTCGTTCCTGCCACACTAAATCGGTATGCACCTTCTGGGTTCAGGTAGAGTATATTCATGCATGAGTGCGTGGGTGTTTCCTCGTTTATGGGAGCTGTATTTTACGATTAAATTCACAAAAAAGATGCAATTAAGTAGTTGGCGACTACACGTGAGGTCGTTGAGACTCACCTTTAACAAATGAGCTGCTGTCTACTGTGAGAAAAACTGGAAAGTTGCCTGTGAAATACATCTACCCTCATGTTCAAAGTTGAGCAATCAACACATGGTAAAAGAAGCTAAACGTAGGCATCAGAAGCTAAACGCAGTAAATATGAGTCGGCCTCATTCCACTAACCCTGAAAGGTCCTTAGAGATGAAAACCTATAGGAGAGAGACCATGAAGGGAATTCCAAATCTCAGAGTCGCGTTAGACTGGCTATGAACGTCGACGTCCTCTACAGAGATTTCACTCCAAAATTAGAAGGTATGGCATTATCGGATTGTCTTAGACGAAAAGGGCTTGTCCACTCAACGATATCTATGTAACCACAAAAAGGCTTCTCCTTAGAAAACGCGGTAATAGAGGAATTGGCCCCGAAGGCGTTCACGTCAGCAAGTAATATCTTTGACCATCTTCGTTTCTTAAAATCTGAATCGAGTCACGATGACATCACATCGCTCCACCTAGACTGGAGAAGCTAAACAGAGATGACCATACATTTCTTTAGGTCATCGCTGAAGGCATAGTGAGATCTACAGGCACAAAAATATCCTATCACCAACGAATCAAAAGCTATAAAATCAGCAAGCTAATCAACTACCTCCATCTAGGACGAAACTCAGTCATACGTGAAGCAGTAGGCGTGAAAAGATTTCTCAACTGCAGTTAACCATACACAAAGCGAGTGACAACGTACTGACTCTCCATAACTCATGATCGAACCGGAAACCTTTACATTCTCAGTCTGACGCTCTCCAAACTAAGCTATTGAGGCTTTCTACCCGCACGCTGCAAAAATAAGATATCAGTAATACCAGATTGAGGAAAGAGTTTCGTAACGCCCAAGAAAAAATTCAGATATTGTGTTTGTTTCACACAGTACCGATTACTGCAAATTCATGTGAATATCTCAAGAATAGAAACTTCCACGCAACGCTAGTTATAGTGCATCAGATTCTTGGAAAATCGAAGTGAACGTTGTCTTCCAAAAGCCATCACTTGCATCACTTCCTCCGCCATCACTTGCATGTCAAGATCGGTCTGCCCAAAGGTCATGATCTTCGTTTGGGGGTTTTCGAAAATGTCAGGCATTTCGAACTTATTCCGAATGGTCGTGCCATCAATGCCGAACTCTGCTGCGAGCAGCTGGGCCGCATTTACGATGCCTTGAAGGAAAAGTACCCGACATTGATTCATCGAAAGCGCACGCTGTTTCAGCAAGACGATGCAAGCAGTGTTCAAGCTCGCTGACAAGCAAGTCAAAACTCGCACCACAAAGAAGAATTAGGATAAGACAGGAAAACTAGAGGAAGTCTTGCCACACCCAGCGTACAGTCCAGATGCTAAGTCGTTCGATTATTTTCTTTTCCGCTTAAAGGAACATTTCTTGCGTGGGCACCGCTTCGAGGCATTTGATCAAGTTGGAGAGGGATGTCGAGAGTTTCTCAATCCAAAGCGCGAAGATGGTATTTCAAGCGTTTCTGCAAACTTGTAGATCGTTGGCAGGAGATCTTGATAATAATGGTCTTTATTTTGAAGAATAATTATTGTCTTTTTTTGATGAATTTATGTATAAACTTCAGATGTGCAGCGGGTGTTGAGGAGCATCCTCCTCAGCCTAATATTTGTTCTAATCAATCCGCAACGTGTTTATACGAGTTCGAACGCACGCAAAGTGGCTCAACTCGTGTGACAAAACAATTACCAAAACGAAGATCAAACTACTGACTTTAGATTTCCAGCCCAACGCTCTCCCAACTGAGCATCGAGGCCACAAAAATCTACTCCTCTTGTATCCACAAATCAGTGATCTTGAATGGATTAATTCAAGCCAGAAATTTGTCCGTGTTGGTAAATACACAGATAGGACAAAGTGCCCATGTTACGTGAACAAAACAGTTGCCCCGAACCAGGATCGAACTGGTGACCTTTAGATCTTCAGTCTAACGCTCTCCCAACTGAGCTATCGAGGCCACAAAGAACTACTCCTCTTGGATCCACGAATCAGTGATCTTGAATGGATTGATTCAAGCCAGAAATTTGTCCGTGTTGGTAAATACACGGATAGGACAAAGTGCCCATGTTATGTAAAAAAAATAGTTGCCCCGAACCAGGATCGAAGTGGTGACCTTTAGATCTTCAGTCTAACGCTCTCCCAACTGAGCTATCGAGGCCACAAAGATCTACTCCTCTTGTATCCACAAATCAGTGATCTTGAATGGATTAATTCAAACCAGAAATTTGTCCGTGTTGGTAAATACACAGATAGGACAAAGTGCCGATGTTATGTGAACAAAACAGTTGCCCCGAACCAGGATCGAACTGGTGACCTTTAGATCTTCAGTCTAACGCTCTCCCAACTGAGCTATCGAGGCCACAAAGATCTACTCCTCTTGTATCCACAAATCAGTGATCTTGAATGGATTAATTCAAACCAGAAATTTGTCCGTGTTGGTAAATACACAGATAGGACAAAGTGCCAATGTTATGTGAACAAAACAGTTGCCCCGAACCAGGATCGAACTGGTGACCTTTAGATCTTCAGTCTAACGCTCTCCCAACTGAGCTATCGAGGCCGTGCACATATCATTCACGACTACAAATTAGTGATATTTGAGTCGATAAATGCGAGCGACAAGGCTGTTCGCGTTGGAATATACACAAGCAACACAATGTGACGCATCTCCTGCGAACAAATCAGTTGCCCAGAACTAGGATCGAACTAGTGACCTTTACATCTTTAGTCTACACTATCAAAACTAAGCTAGCCTAACAAACGAAATGATGACCGTAGAACAGGGAAAATATCATATTTGTGGCGATTGATGCGAAAATCGCAATACATGGATGGTTACATGAATTTCCACTTGCCTCCTTCAAAAGTATTTGTGGTCGTCTATCTAATCAGGCAATGAATTCCCCTCATAAATCAGTATATTACCAACTCGTTGTCGGCGTGAGTATGGAAGGCTTGGTGAACACTAGGCGTGGGATCGAACCAGCGATAAATACGACGCGTATTTCAGGTCACAACTGATACACGGACATTAAATCACATCCAGTTATTCGGTTGATATTCCGTGTACTACTTTACAGCTTTTTTAGAACTTGATTTTTTCATCACAGCGTTTATTTTTTCACTGTCCGGATCTCAATACTTCAGCATTCAATTCGTCTTTCGTCTTCTTCTTAAACGGCATAGAATACTAAGTTGAGCGAGTCTCCTTGCAATCTCGAGGATAGCCTTGCTGTGGCGTTCCAAAGAACGTTGTTCGTGATTGCCTGAGGGATGTGGGGGGTTGAGCTCGGCTGCACACACACAGGCCGTGACTAACATCACAACCGTTGGCCACGGCGTCCCATACTATTTTTGACAATTTAATAAAAAGTCTATAGCTGCTTTTCTGACTAAATTGATTTTAATGGATTTTTCCCAGCGAAAATGCCGAAACTTATGCAACAGAATTTAGAACGAGAAGTACCAATCTCGCGCAAGTTTTAACCCCTTCGAGATCGTGGACCCACCTCCTCCGCATCTCTAACCCCCAGGGAGGTGGACGCACTCAATGTATTATTGTATTATTTTCACTGTATTACTTTTTTTCCTACTTATAACAATATAATATAATCACGTATAACACAACAAGGAGAAACAACAATAATGATACAACTGAAATAATACAATAACATTCAATGCGTTCGTACGCTAAGGGTCAGGGATGCAGAAAAGGTGGGTCCACGGTCCCCCAAGGGTTGCATTAGAGAAGAGGACAAGTTGTGATATAGGTTCCAGTTTTTAACAACATTTACACAAAATTTTTATTCATCTCCATAAACATACAACTTTTTGTTTATCTGCGCTTAGTAAACCGTGACCACTTGGATTCCAACTCAGAGACAATATGGCATGGCTGAAAAAATAATCTTTCTTCAAGTACACATCACTGAAACACACGAGAAAATGAAGCGTACTCGTGCCCTCCTTTATACAAAACTTTTTCTAGTTTGGTTGACTGCACATTCCAAATAAACACATGGCCATCGGATGCGCTGGAAATTCTAGTTTATCAACACAATTAGAAATTAGTGGTGATAAACAAAAAACTTCATTAATCGCCATTGTATTAACAACCGCTGTAAATCTTACTTTCAAAAGACAAATCGATTTCAAAAGCGAGTAGTAAGTAACAACTTCACATATAATCTTAATATTGTTATAATTTAACTTGAAGATAACGAGGCCGCTGAGATACGAGAAAAACTTGAAGCATGAGGAAGCTTCGAACTCACGACTATCCTTTCCGGTGGTCACCATTTCCACTGCACTATTGAGGCCCTCGCTCTACCCTTTTCTCAACGGTGTTCTAACGCTTTCGGTGGTTGGTGATCATCCGTCAACGGGATGACTCTGCGAAGCATACTACCGTACCTCGCCTTGACAAACAAAATTGAAAACTAAGATCCTTAAGAACCAAGGCCTTATAATGAGTGAGGTTGATGACGATTTGTGCTTTCCAAAGCACTCCCGTTGAAGGACGAATGCTGACAGCCATCGAAAATGCTTCAAAAAAAAAAACACGACGGAAAGAAAAGCAGAGAAACGACTCCAAGGGTGTGGTGAATAGCGTTGGTGAACACCCGGAAAGAGCACTCGCTGGTTTGAAACGACGTCGGGTTACAAGTTTTTCTCGGATTTCAGCCCTCTTGTGGTTACACTGAGTACTGAGTCGTTCCATAGTTTTCGATACTAGAGCAATAAACACCAAATTCATTAGCTATAAGTGATCAGAACTCCATGATTCTGATTCCGTTCAATTGCACATTTCCTTGCAAACATTTTGGTATAAAACTTGCCCATAGTTCCTGTGAAATGGAGCTCTATTGGGAACAAAATCGCTGGCTACTAATGCACAAATGGCGCGTAGGGGAAAATCCTAGTGAAGTAGCGTGCAAAATTGATGGATCTTGGGGCGATGATACGATTAGAAGAAGGGCAGCTAGGAAATGGTTCGCTAAGTTCAAAACTGGAGAGAACAGTCTGGGATATTAGCCACGTACGGGCCGTCAAAAAGAAGCTCCACTTATTCTGGGCGCCGTTTTACCACCATTTCCCCTACGCTCCTTCCGTGCATGAATAGCAGGCAAATTTGAGCTCCGTTTGAAGTAAATACAGGCAAGCGAGATGTCGCATTCAGTGATTCTATCGGTGAGGTGAACTTTGGACTGGACATATCAGCAATTCCTTTGCCGAATAAATGAAGCTTATACACCTAAGAGTATTGAGTGGTATGCAGACCGTTCACCATCAGGGCAGGAACTGAATCAGCGCTTCGCCCATGCCTGGGATGTATGCTATCACTACTCCGCTCGCCATTCTATTCGTTTGCTCATAATCATGTTAGGGAAGGTCTCCAAATTCCTTCAGCTGTAATTCGGCTGCTACTTCACGTCTGTCATCTTATCTTTAAACGCCGTTAAATACAGGTTGAGTGGATTCTCCCTCAACTTCAGAGATAGTTTGCAAGAGTTCCTACTTAGACCGAAAGGCCTTAATCGTGCCAAGACAAGCCTTTACAACTGGCCACTGTGGGAGGGACAAAAGGCTTGGTGAGCTCGCGAAGGGTCGTACCATTACACGGCCCGTGATAAACGGCATCACTATTGCTGCGCTGTGCGCTCCCTCAGGGCTCATAAAGGTATAAACACATATTAGACAAGTGATAAAAGAATTTACTCATACGACTGTTTCAGCCGAGTTTAGCAAGTTGAAGCTGATTAAAAAGCAACGTACCCGGCAGCACAGTACTCCATTCCTGGGGAAAGCACACATCGAGAAACATCACTTGACGTGCGGTATTGCTCAGCACTAGAATGCACATTCAAAGTCATTTAGGGTTTAATCAAATCGGCATATTTCCGTTACCGGGCCCCATTCTTCAGGCTTTCTTGGGCAAGGTATCTTTCAAGCCTTCCTCAAACTTTACTAGTACTCGATGACTTGAAAAACGGTGATCTCCCCACAGCGACTATTTACTCTCAAAAAAGGCCTTATCAAGGCGCTGTAGCAGCGAAAATGAGATCATGTTTCACATTCGACGCTAATATCTTGCCAGGCTAGAATTTATGGACAGCACTCTAACAGATATACCACCAACCAAAAGCGTTGATCCCAGTAACCGATATGGCTTGCCAGGCGATGGCGTGGCAAAACAGGCGTTGGTAGTGCAGTTGATAAGCCGCACCTCCGAATAGGGTGAAAAGTGAGTTCGATTTCCGTCTGACGTCGGACATTTGCTTATCACTCAACATTATTGGCTATATTTGTAACATCATACCACCACTAAACAAGCGGCAAGGTAAAAAGAATACTTCAATAGATTTTTGGTAGTTATCACCTGTCACCTGTCGTTGTTGATCGTCGAGTGACTCGAGAGGTACCAGCAACACTCCCATTTATCCCTATCGCGTGCTAGAGTAGCCCAGTGGGACCTCCTTGCTCTAGGGATTCGTTAAGCATCAATCTTTCTTCCAGGCCTTTTAGTGAAGAAATCAGACCAATAGGTCCGATGGTCTTTCTGTAGAGCTTTTGATACCCCGAGAAATTTAGTCGGTAACAGCTCTCGTTTATTGGTTGTCGTTGAAGCGCATCACGTGTTGGACCCACATTGTATATGACAACATAAATCAAGTGATTCTGAAGCTAAATTTGACTTCTGAAGAGCCTTCCTGGAGCGCTGGAAGATTACATTGCGCACTTCTGGACTTAAGCTTTATGGCGCGTCTATTCAGCAAGATACAATTAGATCAAAAGCCTAACCCCTCCATGTATGCCTATACAGCGATATAACAAAGTTTATTCTACAATTCTAATACAGACAACGTAGAAAATCCCAAGATACGAAGAACGAGTTCTCGAATAAAAAACGAGACTCGCACTCTTCAAAGGCGACTCTAAGATAGTTGCGCACATCGCGACTCGAGAGACAAGCGATGATGCACCCCAAAGATAAAAGGTAATCTTCTTTTTGCTGCTACATCGTATTAGCAAGGCCTTTTCATGACCAAAAAACAGTTTCGAAGTCGCCGAGGTTTTAGCTATCGAGGACAACTAGAAGTATGAGGCAAAAGCAAAAAAGGCTTTGTCCCTTAAAGGTTGAAAAGGGAATAGTACAGCGAAATCTTCGCAAAACCTGAATCACGTATGAGTCCTATGGCTTCACCTGGAATATGAAACGAAGAATCCGAATAAGTTTAGTTATTAACCTGTATATATGCACCGTTTGGTATTTACGAATGTCAATTATCGACAATGTGTCGTCCCTTGTAGAGCATAAAAGATGTATGCCGTCTGCAACAAAGATATCAACGAATAGGTAAGTAAAAGTTTCAATCTAAATATAATCAGCTGACCAGACGACATGTCCAGAGAGGTCACTTTCCCTCCCATCTCCATCGTATGTATTGGTTGCTGATTTTCTGAATCCCAAAAACGAAGTTTCTTGTCAAAATGTCCTGAAACATGGATGTATTAGCAAACAAATCGCCACATGAAAGACATTTCTTTGGCATTGTCTTCATTCTATAGACGACCCGTCATCACATTTCCCGTGTGGATCCCAATTCCTTGCATTCGACTTCCCTACGGTGTTCAAACAATTTCTGTGCTGTTTCAACTGCAGCTTAAGGATTCTGCCTCCTCCAAAAATAAAGCGAAATACAATGGAAAGGTCCCTCCTTACACTCTCTATGTAGCCGAGCTAGAGTATTCAGTAGG